ATATAACACTTTGTTATCAATGTCTTCGCTTACAACAGTTTCGTTCTCCATGGTGAAGTGTTTGCATTTCTCGTCCACTGGATTTTCATTTAAGTTCTCATCCGGTTGATCATGCTCCTCTTTTGAGCCACTCTCATCAGTTGTCTCTTCTTGATATTTACGTCGTTCGGCTCTTATCTTCGCCAATCTACGTGCAACTTTCATCTTCTTTCTGTCCATCTTCTCTCTCCATTTTTTGTCTTCGAGCTCTCGTCTTTGGCCCATCTCATCAAGACGTTTCAGGTCGCCTTTTATATCATCCTGTCTCCGTCGCATCTCCTCAATCTCATTTGTGATGGTATCTTCCCTTGCCTGGCTCTGTTTGATCTCCTCCACTATCTTGTTCATAGATTCAATAGCCTGTCTGTTTTCCTCCGCAAACTGTGCCTTGAGCCGTCTGGATTTCTCATCTAGCTCAGCCATTTTTCTTTTGTAACCGCTGGACTCAGTGAAAGAACTGCAGTCCAACTCTTCCTCGCTCAAACCATTCTTGTCCAGTTTATCCTCTGTATCAAACTCTGGTTCAAGCCTGAAGTCTTTTGCCGCGCTTGGAACGGCAGTGTCATCTTTCACGATGTTTATGTCATCGTTTAATTCTTCTCTCTCCCTGCAATAAAAAATTAATTCATATTGATCAACTTTATCGAAGGCTCTAATCGTAAACTACCCAAGGGAACTTGATCATTAGTATGAAGAAAACGCTTCATCAAAAAAATTGGGAACTTCGGATATCACCACTTTAAAATTGAGCAAAACCTTTAGACATTGAAAATTTTGGATCGTTTTCTTAACAAAAATAAGACAACTGCCAATTTTACTGATACCTTCAGACAATCTATGAGACGCGCTATTTAATTACTTAACTTAAGTATAAAATTATGCTTCCGAAGTTTTGGAAATATGTTATATATCTACTTTATATATCTACCAGGTTTGAAATACCAAGTGATAAGTTACAAACTAATCTCACAAGTATGTTGCAATGCGGTCAGTATATAAAGATAAACTCGAGAAACATTATCTTATGCTTTCATGGGACTCGGGCCCTCGCCTTGTTTCACAGATATCGTTTGTTGGACAGAATGAATTCAACCACCGCCCGGCTTTACTTTCTGCATTTGCATTGTGTACAGTTTACGGTTTCTAAATAATATCTTGTGCATACCCTACCTTACTTGCCTCAGAAATGAAATCCACAAACTAGACTTAACTGACTGCAAATGAATGGACTAAGCAGTCCCTCCTTTTCGGCAAAGTCGGTCGCACGAGTTAAAAAAAAATTCAGAACAAAAGAAAACTGATGTTAGCGCGCCGCGCCGACCTCTGGAAGTTATGCGCAAGAATTGGTGCGACGGACTTTGCCGAAAAGAAGGGACTGCTTGAAGATAAAAAACAGAAAAAAAGTTATTTGAAAACTAACCTGTACTCCTCTCTTAGCCATGGCGGCGCATTGGGCATTGTTTTTTCGTCGCTAGATTTTGAGTGACGTTCAAAGTTGTCGCCAAAGTCATTGCCACTGAAATTTGCTTCAGCCCCCATACAGAGCTCTTCCTCATGTACAGGTGTAACGTTAAATTTAAAATCTGGCGTGACGTCTTCCGTTCTGGCTGCGGGTGACACCTCACTAGCTGAGCTTTCTTCTCGTGGTTCTTTCTCATCGCTGCAGACCTGTTTATTTAAGAATTTAGTGTCAATCGGCAGAAATGAATCCGGAATTCGCGATCTACGCGAGTAATAAGCCACGGTAATTTCTTTTATGGCTCAGTCACTTTTCTTCTCAGAAAGGTATTTAAATTTTCCAGGTCCTCCAGTAGAGACCGTTTTCATTATGAGATACATCACTCGTGACATTCGAAAAACATTTCACTATCGCTTTAAATCATCGACGTTTTTTAGATCGGATTTACCAGTTTCGCCTCTGTCTCTAGGAGTGCAAGCTGTCTTGGTACCCGTCCCCTGATGTTTGAAGTCGTTTCTTTAGCGGGCCAGTAACTGCCATATTTAGCTGTGGTCGAAGGAATGGCACTTGCTTTCCTCTTGTCCTTTTTTCCTTGAGTTTCTTTTAGGTTAATACCTGTTATCATATTAGGATCACGTATTAATTTCCTCTAACAAAAAATCAGGCACTGACATACAATTACTTAGAAAAAGTCGTGAAGCTTTAAATGGAGGAATCTGCGTCCTGTTTGTGCAAACGAGCATCAAATAAGTTTGTGGCTTGAAATCAACGAGATTGCTGATGGCCTATAACAGCCTCTCTTCTGTCTCTTTTTCGATCAAAATCACTACGAATTGGGGAAGAGCTCCATCCTAATCGAAGTGAAAATAAATAAAGAAAAGTAAAGGAATATAAATGAAAATAAAGCGCTGAGTAAATAAAGAAATAAATAGAAATGAAATGACCGCCCGTAACAATCTTCTCTACCATCAGTGAGAATTTAAGATAAAATAAGTCTTACCAGCAAATTTTAAAAATCAAATACATTGAACTGAACAATGTCTTTTACAACCCTGTATAGCATGGTTTTCGCAAAAATTCAAGACAAATTATCTCAACTCCTGTTCATTTTTCCTACGGCGTGTGGTATCATACAAGTGATTTAGAAATTCCAGCCGTTAATTCATATCTTTTCAATTTTTCCTATGTAGTACTTGAATGAAAAAAATCAAGCCAGCTAACTGCTGAACAAAGAACATACCTGAATCCCTTCCAAAAGCTTTTTCTCCTCGTGTAGTTTTGACATTCTTGGGAAGATTATCCTTAGTATTAACTTTGGTCTCCCTCTTATCGACTACAATCGGAATCCGCGATGACAGCTTGTTTTGAAGTTTTTTGTCTGAATCTTTATGCAGACGTACTTTTTTATCCAAACTTCCATCGCTTTCGCGGCTTAGGTGAGCAATTTTGACTGGTATTCTTGATTTCTGTTGCAGAGGTGGAAGAACATCATGATTTTGGTTGCTTTTCTTTCCGGGAAGAAGCCACGAAGCCATCGCGTCTCACCCGCGGTTTTCTCTCGCTCGATGAAAACTGTTAAACTCAATAAAATTTTCTTTTTTTTCTTTTTGCGTTTTGGTTTTTTCAGTATTTGTTTTTTTTGGTTTGTTTTAAACAGTTTTTTTTCTCAAATAGGACCGTGAAATAATCCAAATTTCCAAAGCTCTGAGTTTCGATACTGACCGCACCGATAGCTGATGCAAATGAAGTTGTTTTGAGTCAAAATCCATGGAAACATCTCTTACGAGTCTTTCGTCATATAGAGCAAGGAAACCTTCGATAGCTCGTGCGCAGGAGAAATCTGTTAATAAATTCAATGAATACAACAATTGTGTGTCCAAATTGTACAACTATGAAAACTTCGAAAGTTTTTCCTTTCGAAAATAAGTAAAAAAAAATGAGAAATCTATTTGCAAAGAGGAACTCAGCCGTTTTCAAGTTCTTTGACATAAAGACGGTAGTCAAGTGTGTGGGCGAAAAATCCGGACCTTTTTGATAACTAGACAAACTCTGACATGAACTTCTTGAATGAAAAAAGGATTTATTTCCGTTCTGTTCATAATCCTATAACGGTACCTTTGCAAAATTCCAATTGCTTTTTTACCCGGCCACGAGTAGATCCATTGAAGCAACCGGTTAAGGCTTCCCTTTCATTCATCCCCAGAGAACGACTTTGATGATTTTGACGGTGATGACTGCGTAGATAAAAATCATCTGCTGAAAGTGGAGCTCTTCTCTTGGTATATAAGGGGTGTTTGTCGGAGATTTTGCCTTGGAGTTGTTAGATTTACAGCTGAACTATATTCTTAAGATGAAGTTATGCCAGCTGGCTTTCTCCAAAGCGAGTGTGACCAATATACAAGGCAGCGAAGCAGCTAGGAATGCAAGGCAAGACCCAAAACATAGTTTCAGTCTCCCATCGAATAGCTGGTTGTGGGGTAAACTTAGCAAACAAATGAAAATACAAATTTTCGTTGATGGGAGTGGATCGTAATGAAGAGTAAGGCCTCGTTCCCTTGTTTCAAACAAACTTTACACTCGTCGACATCAAATCAGTGAAGCACTTCAAAAGTAAGACTAAATATAATTTCATGAAATACTTACCTTAGCGTAAATTTGAATGCGATAAATAAAAGGATTATACTGAGATGATCAAACAAGATAAATCTCCCCATGATCCAATCACTTACTAACACTGCTCGCGAAACCAGAAAAACTTAGGAGAAAATGAACTGTAAACGAGTCTCTGCCGTTACCGACTTTCGCGGGCTGCCTCGCATGTTTCCCATGCCTCGCACGGATCTGTAGTTACCTCGCATTTAATGCACACCCGAGTAATCTTGGTTACAAGAATAAATGCTCTCGGTACTTCCCATTTCCAGGATTTAAGAATGCAACAAAGGCATTAGTAAAGTGTTCAGTAGCTAAATAATAGAATAAAAGTAATTAGATAATATTAAAAAACATAGTTACAAAATTGTCTAATAGGTAGTATAGAGGCGTATTTAGGAGAGGTGTAATAAATGCAAACTCAAATAAAAATAAAAAATATTTACTTTATTTGTTGAGCATGAGAGCATTTGCTCTTACAACCAAGATTACCCGGGTGAGTAGCTACAAGTCTGTGCAAATCCATAACCTTATGTTAATAAGTAGTTTAATTGTCCACTGTACCTGCAGCAGATAATATTAGAACCTCTCTACTATGCTGCTGCTCCCTGACTTCGCCCACTTTATCAGCTTTATTAGGTTTCTGCAATCCTTTGGAAAAATTAAAGCGTAAATAAATGAAACCAGCCAGTTTAAGGGACGGAAAAAATATATATAACTTAATACAAGAGCTGAGAGTTGGAAAAGTAAGAAGAAATATTCTTCCGTCCTTGATTTTATTTTGATTAAGCCACCATTACTAATTTTCCAACCTCATCGGATTAGCGAGAAATACTGGGTCGAGTTCCTTGCATCCGCCATCTTGGAAGAAGTGGCTCAAGCAAATCAAACATGAGTCGCAAACAAACTCCAAGTGACTTTTTGAAGCAAATCATAGGCCGTCCTGTCGTGGTGAAGCTCAATAATGGCGTCGATTACCGAGGTAAACGAGATTTATCATAAGTTGCACAATGAACTGTTTTATGATGTATAAAATCTACAAATTGTATTATAACAACGTTCAGATAAGAAAAAAATAGACCTTTTTATGATATGTTATGATATATCACTTGTATCGACGTTATCCTATTCACTTGAAATAAATGTACGGTTTATCCTATATACTTTTAATAACTTGGCTCACTTTTATGCATTTAAATCGGACCTGTACTATTTCATAATGAAATAGAACAGGTCAGATTTTAATCAATCGAGCCATGGCCAAAAAATAACTGGAGAAAAAATAAGGCAAGCTGCAATTCTGTTTGCTACATGTATGTTATTGTCAATTTAAATAGCTTTCTTATTTTAGTATCACTTCAAGGTTCAATTCTTTTGAACAGAAATGAAACTCTCTGAAATATTCATGCATGTCTCTTCAGTGAACAATTTATAAGTTAAGATTCTTCATCCCCAGAGAAGAATCATAATTCTGAGGAGAAGAAATCTGGTACTCGAGGAAGGAACTGCGGTACTCCCCCCAATGTTTAGAATTCCTTAAAGAAGAAACTCAAATATTTCAGATTCTTGCCTCAAACACAGAAAATTACACTGAAATTAAATATTAATTAGAGACAACTCAACATCTTTGTGTTGCAATAAGTTTATCATTAAGCTAAATAGGAGAGAGGTGACTAATGCCTTTGCATGTCAAAAAACACTCTTGAAAACAAGAGGTTGGTCATTTTAAGACAGTTTGAATCCTAGATCTATATCTTTTATCCCCTAAAACCACTGTTTAGCAAATTACTTAGATGAGTATGGCTAAAATTTGCTTGCTTGCAGATTAATACTCAACTGAAAAGAAACAGACTTCAAAATTGAAAGTCGATCTTAAAACTGATGATGACAACAATCACAACAGTTGATATGGAATTAGTTTGTTGTTCAGCATAAGCAATTTAAATACCTGTCTTCAGGTTGATTTTCACATGTCTGTTCACAGGCGGCTCAAGCTCAGTATGAGAGGTTAATCATAATACATGTGGTTTCATATTGCATAATTTAAAATGACTGTGAATATAAAGGATTTGTATGGGATTTCAGGTAAACAGTTCAAGGTGATAAATACTCACTAGAATTATCAATAAAATACAGTTTACCATATCTACTTTGCTTGTTTTTACTTTCTGTGTAGTTATTTTCCCTGATCCATTGCGATTTCCTTTATTAACCCCGAGTTTTCAACTGTTAAAGAAAGGATTGCGATTTAAGCAATTTCCTTTAACCCCAAGTTTCCAAATGTAAGAGAAAGGAGTCCTTTCTCTAACAGTTGGAAACTTGCTTAAATTGCAATGGATCGGGAAAATAACCACACAGAGAGTAAAAACACGCAAAGTAGATACAGTAAGCTGTATTTTATTGATAATTCTAGCGAGTATTCATCAACTTGAACCATTTGCCTGAAATCCCATATAAATCCGTTATATTCACGGCCATTTTAAATTACGCAATATGAAACCACATGGATTATGATTAACCTCTCAAACTGAGCTTGGGCTTCCTATGATCTGTTTTGCTGTCGTTTGGCTGTATTTTACACATTTGACAGCTTATGTGAGGTTTTGCAGATTTCACTGGATTTGACCTTTGTATGTTGCACAAATACCTTGTGTGCTATTTCGCTCCTGGTTCTTCAGTTTGAATTTCTTAGGCAGATTTTTTACACCTAGCTACTTGTTTGGGTACAAATTAAGTTTTCAGCATTAGTTTGGCTATCATCCTCCAAAATTTTTTGCTCGGCCATTGGTTTTGCAGATTTCATTGAATTTGACCTATAATGTTACACAATTACCTTGTGTACTATTTTGCTCCTGGTTGCAGTGTGCATTTATTAGTTAGATTTTTTACACACAGTCAGTTACTTGCTTGGGTACAAATTACATTTTCAGCATTAGTTTGGCCATCATCCTCCAAACTTTTGTGCTGCACCATTGGTTTTGCAGATTTAATTGAATTTGACCTATAATGTTACACAAATACCTTGTGTGCTATTTTGCTCCTGGTTGCAGTGTGTACTTATTAGCCAGATTTTTTACACACAGTCAGTTACTTGCTTGGGTACAAATTAAGTTTAATTTAGCATTAGTTTGGCCATCGTCATCATTAATTTATCACACGCCGTCATCTACACCAACGTATTGAAGAACATAAAAACTCCTCTTCGTCAATTGGCAAACATTCTCGTGACAAACATTCTTTGACTCCAAAGGATCTTACAAAGAACTTTAGCACCTTAATGAAGTGCACGAACAAATTTGTCTGTCTCGTCTATGAGATGTTTTTTATTCATAAGCTAAGACCTGCTCTCAATGTACAGTCTGATTCAATTCGTGCTAAGGTTTTTAATTAGCTTTTTACTAGCACTTTCTTTGTAGTTTTATTGTTTGTTTACGCCTGCAAAAATTTTTTATATTTCTTATGTGTACATATACACATATTTACTGTATTTCATTCCATTCACTTGACAATGACCTAAGCATGGTCGAAACATCGTGTTTTACCGTTAATTTTTATCGTCATTAATTTATCTGACTTTGAAATAAACATTGTTCTGAAATCTCATCTTTTGTATGTTTTTATTTATATGGGCATATTTTTACTTTTATTACCCCAACAAAGACCTCTAAAGTTATTGTTATTTGGCTTTGGTTTGTGGCGGATAAATTACATGTTCTGATTGGTTAAAAGTAAGATCAGAGCAAGCATTGTACAGCTGCAGTAATTGACTACAAGCTGATGAAAGATTATAAACTTAAAGGCAAATCAGGAAGAGCACAAAAGGTCACACAAGTACTACAGTGGCTCTCTTCTTTTTTTCAAAAGTTATAATGCATGAAAGTGTTGAAGGCTGATTAAGAGTCTGAGAGAGGAAACTCAAATAACAGGCATTTCAAAATTTTGAAGAAAAGCAAAGCTAGTTTTAAATTGCCTTAAAATTTGAGATTGAGCTGGAAAGGATAAGGCAAACAAACAAGAATACATCCAATCTCACATCTAATATAAGAAAATGTTAACACATGTATGAGAAAGCTGTCAGTGTCATGATAACACTTCAACAAAATGTTTCGTCCATACATTATTGTAAATACATTTAGGTTGTGTTTTGACTTACTAAACCTTGACAGGCGCAAGAGAAGAACAATCAAAGTTGACTGTCTCATATACAAAGCTTAAATTGCTAGTAAGATCAGTCATGCATTGATAGATCAGTCATGCATTGATAGATCACTCAGGCATTGATAGATCACTCAGGCATTGATAGATCAGTCATGCATTGATAGATCAGTCATGCATTGATAGATCAGTCATGCATCCTAAGCAGAATATCACAAAAAATCTTATAGTTTATCATATTCCATGAAGTCATAGCAACTGCCCAAATACTAAATTTTGTCCCAGCTAGTTTGATAGTTCTCTTCGATAAATTCCCGCTCTATTACACAGGCTTGAGCTATTACACCAACCATTAACATCAGATGCAAACAGTCATGCAGTTTCTGTTGGCAGCAATATTTCTGAGTACATGTAGTATTAGGTCTTTAAAGGGCTTGTAAAGTTCATCCATTAGTCTCCCAAAAGGTGAAGATACATACATACATACATACATACATACATACATACATACATACATACATACATAGGTTAATTGACCACTCCCCATAGGGGCTTTTCAGGGCCAACACCCACCCATCCGACCCAGGGGAGGACATCCACCACACAGTAACCTCATGTGTGGGAATTAACATCTCCTACCCCCCTAATCCTGCAGGAGATGGGGCCTCCGGTTTATTTGTCCTTATCCGAGAAGACTAGAATATCTATCCATTTCTCAATTATAGAAAGGTAGCAAATTCTCCTCACTTATTTTAAGACCATGAGTATTGGTCCGGCAGGGCCTTGAACCCTCGACCTCCCACAGATATGATGTAAAAAGAGAATGCACAGACTGAAATGTTCTGAACAGTCCATTAAGAAGCATTTGCTTCTTCTTATCCCAAGACCCCATAGCCATTTGGACTATTTTGAAGCACTCTTCTGTCCATTCTGTATGAGTTCCAGTTGATGTTTTGCCTTGAAAGTCAGACAAAATTTCTCTCATCTAATTGCGTTTTCTCTTTCGTGAAATACTTTTTCAAGGCTATGAATGAGATAATAGATGTGTTTTTTATAGAATATGTAATACTGAGTGGTGTAGCTCACTGATTTAGCCTAGTTTTACTGGCACACTGGGTTTGAGTTGATGAATGAATAGGTAAATGTGTGCATTGCTTTTTGTAAATTGTCAACTAATCAGCTTTAGTAAATTTTTCATTTCTTCCATTTAAAAGCAATGCAATAAATAACTTCATAACCTTGACCATTTAGATGTTACAGGAAAATCTCTAATCTCTGCTTAGCCATATTGGTCTCACTATCACTCGTTCAATACAGCAAGGCCTCAGTTCGAGATTTTCCCATAACAACCTCACTCTCAGTCATTCAGTAGTTAATAATCAAGTGGTCCTTTAAGGTCATGTCACAATACTGGAAGGTGATGGCAAAGGATTAAAGTCCTCTTCACTTAATTGAGTTATTAAGACATGCCATGTGGTAGTTCCAAGGAGCCTACGATTAGCTTAATATCTGTTGGTGGCTTCCACTGTCCTGCAATTGAAATCTAAAATACAATTGAATGTCTGATGCCAAGGGGGGAGCTATTATAGAATAAGGGTATATATATATATATATATACGATTTCCCCAAGTTTCAGGTGTGTAGGGTTTTATGCTGCTCAGTTATTTGCCAAAATGTTTGACATAACTTTGTAGAGCTCAGTATGGGGACGCTATGTCAGTGCCCATCCAAGGGGCACCAACATAGTGGCCATGAAGAAGCAAAAACATCTGATGTCTGGTTTCAATACTTAACTAATTAGTTATCCACTGTGGACTTCCAAACATTCATCCAAACCACTTATTATAAGTGAATGCTTAGGGAACAAAATGTCACACCATTAAATCATATTTTACATAGCTTTCAGCTTTATAGGCATATTTCAACAACTCAAAATTAGGAATTCCGAATAGCTCTATCTTTAAGTTGCTGAACCCCACCACACTTGAAACCTTTCAAAAAGGTGAAGGCTTAAGATGTCTTGACTTTTGGAGGTATAAAACGGCAATTACCATTATAATAGCCCTAATGCTTGTGATTTTGGATTTTGGATTTTTTAGTGTCACACAAGGATACTTGATATGAATTAAGCTTGGCAGAAAATTGTATAGCTTTTCTATTATTTTTTCCAAAATTTCACTACATAGTGTAATGTTTATGGGTTTTACATATGACTTTAGAAAAGTTTGTGATATCCATGAATGTTATTCATCTCTGTTATTTTATGGTGGTATACTTATTTTAACTTAATATTTACTGTCTCCCTATGTGGCATGCTATTTAATTAAATTAAAATTTTTATGTTGAGTCATCCCAGACCTCCTATTTATCCTGTATGTCCTATAATTTGTATAGGATCCTAGAAAGAGCCTAAGATAGATATTTCATGAAATCCTCCTATATTTCCTATGAAATTAATTGAAAAAGGACGACTGTCGAATATTACATTTATATTTTTAATGCACTTTTTTGCATTTTTGCAGACAAAAGCTAATTATCGGTGAACTCTCTCATATGAATATTCACTCACTATTTCCTATTACCAGTACTTGGCAAAGCCAATAAAAATAAATAATAAAATTGATGTTAACAATATAATAACGGGCCTCCTGTGGTAGTAAATACCAACAAACTGCTACTTAGGTTTCATATTTCAACCAAATTGATATCAACTTTGAAGAGTTTGTGTTACGCACAAACTGAACTACCCAAACCAGTTTTTGCATATGTTTTAGTACAATGTTTTAAAGACCTCATGGCTTGAGTCTCAGTCAGGGTAAACCAAGGTGTAGCAGATGCCTAAAATTGTAATTCCGACTTTCAGCTAAAATATAAATTTCTTTCGGTTAAGATTAAAGCAGTTCTAAAATATTATTGTTCACTGTTCAGATTACTGCTAAGTTGAATATTTACCACCAAACTAGAAGTAAAACCCTTAGCGAAGTGATGCATCGGAAAATACTTTATCTCTCTTTCTTCCCTTTTGCATGCAAGACAAATTTTGAGAACGGCCCATTCTGTCTTAAATTTTGGCTGTTGTGAAGTCCCCAAAGGCAAATATCTAGATTTTTTTTAATTTTCTCCAAATTGAAGTGGCCTTTCTCAAAACAAACTAAATCACGTTTAGTTTCTCACCATTGCCTATGGATGGGCAAAATATGAGCAAAAAAAAAACTTCCACTCTGGCCATTGGTAGCGGGATTTTTAGAGGCACTTACTCTTAAAAGCTTTTTTGGCTCCTATGAAGTACCTATATTTTTGGAGAAAAATGTTATTAATATATTTTCCTATATTTAGAACTTGCACAGTCGTTAGTTCCTATCAAATGGCTCAAAAAATGGCTGGGATGCCTGTATGTTTGCAGATAGGTAGTACATATTAAAAACAGCTCTCCATGATTTCTTGCAGGAGTGCTTGCTTGCCTGGATGGTTACATGAATATTGCTCTAGAACAAACAGAAGAATATGCTAATGGACAGGTTGGCAGAGTTTCATTTACACATGCAAGTTATTCTTCAAAAAAGTTGTTGTTCATGTAGTCAAGATTGTAACAGTTTGTGACAAAACTGTTTTTCTCAAGCTAAATAGTCTACACAAGAATCTACAAAGCTCTGTATTCAACCATTTTAGTCTGTTTTTGATTGGAGGACTGGTCAGTCTTTTCAAAAAGTAGCACATTTTCTCCCCCATGCCCCAACTTCATACCTGTCTCCTTTCATTAGTTCAAAATACTAGTCATTGACTATTATCAATGCACTTCTCCTCTCCTTGTCCTTGTCCTTGTTTTGCCTTTAGACTCCTTTTCTTTTACTTACCCTTTGGCATCCATATGCCTGCTTTGTGTTCTTCCCCTTCTCTGCTTTTGAACGACAGAAGGTATGGGTTATCTTGCATTCCCCCTTCATCTCAATCTTCAAAGTGACAGCTCATCAGGACTTGTGAAAGTGGAATGATTTGTAATCATGTTTTCCCATAATTATTATTCTGGAGCCAGTAGGAAGGGTGAAAAGTAGTAATTTGATCAAATGATTGTGAACCATCTCCATACAATTATAGAACTTTTGAGATCATTACTGTCTATAATGAATGTTTAAATTGAGTGTAAAAGAAAGGGAGGGAGAAGGAGTTTTAAAAATAAAGGATACGAAATTCTTTGAGCAAGGGAATATTAGGCTTTCTGGAATTTCTCTTGGTAAACTGTACAAACATTGTGGGTATGGATATTTTCTGGGAGCAATTGCTTCTATAAATTTAACCAATATTTTGTTTATGCAACATGCCAATTAAACTACTGACATTTATATTTTCAGCTGAAAAACAAATATGGTGATGCCTTTTTGAGAGGAAACAATGGTATGAGGCTAGGAGGATCTAACACCCCATTCACACCAAAGCTTAAACATGTTTTGAAACTTTTTTGTTGAAAGTTGGTTTAAAATTTTTTTCTTGTTGCTAGAAGCAGCTGAGACCAATGTTTCTCGACTTCAGATTTAGCACATTGAAAATTCAAGTTAGTGACTACAGTCATTACTGAACACCTGTTGAAAATTCAATTTTGCAGTTCTCTGTTTCTGATTTTTATTTAATTTAGACCTGGTTTACCTAAAATGTCTTGCTGGTGTGAATGGAGTATATGTCTTTTGTCTTTTTAAAGAACACTCTTTATTCTTGAAAGTAAAAATCTCAAAAGAGGGATAATGAAATATATAATTTGTATATATATATATATATATATATATATATAACTGCAGACAGTACTGTTTCGGCCTTCTGGGCCTCATATATATATATATTCCTCAGTTTTAGATGATGGTACAGAAACGAGGTAAACTAGCACAGTATCTTCAGCCGAGAAAATATTTAAGCTTTAATCTAACCTGGGCTGGTTTGCTGTTAATCTGAATCCGAGGGTCTTCCCACTGAGTAGATTTTGTGTCTACAAAAAAGTTTAATAAAAATCAAATACACAACGATTTACATTGTACGCACATACTAAATCAACTGTTGATATTAAACACATGAAAATTTTCATTCTGTACAAACTGTTGGTATCACGCTCATACATCCCTTGTTACACCGTAATACACTTTACAAACATACACATGTATGTGTATGTTAGACTCATCACAATTGACATGCTAAATGGAAATGTTTCCACGCATTCCAGTTACAACTCGATCATAAAATGTAGTCTCAGGAAACGCGTTTTACATTTTTTACTGAGTGTGGGAAAAGAATAGATCGCAGTTGCGGGCGGATTCAATCAAGACTCTGTGATTTTCAGGTGAGAGGTTCTACTACTCAGAGAACTCGTTTAAGAGTCCGGCAACATGCTAGGTTTATTCGTAACAAGCCCGCTGCATACTGCTCGAATCAGCAATGTTTAAAAGCAACTACTTACTATGATCAATATAGAAGACTCTGCCATCTTGGTGGATTCTTTCCTCCCAGCCGTCCTAAGAAAGAAGAGCAGATTAGATTGTTACGGCGTATTTTGATTGAGTGTTGTTTATTTCAAAGCCAAAGTAATAAGAACAGCCAATCAGACTAAAGAAAAATACCACAAGGAGCCCGGAAAAAAGCTTAAATTAAAAACCAAGGGAACAGCCCGAAAAAACGGGAAAACGAGAAGTTATCTTACTGGTAAGGGTCCAAGATCTCGGCTAAGGGCCGCTGATCGTCCAATTTCTGGTGACATGGACGGTCCTCCACTGGTATGGTGATGAAGCCGAGGATCTCGCT